AGGGAGCCCGATGTGGGACTCGATCCCGGGACTCCAGGATCATGACCTGAGCCGAAGGCAGTCGCCCAACCAACTGAGCCACCCAGGCGCCCTTAGTTTTATTTTTTAAGCATATAAAATTAATATGAAAAAACAGGACTCCAGTTGTCCTTTGCTAAACTTTTTTTTTTTTAAGTAAACTACTCCCAACGTGGGGCTCAAACTCACCACCCCAAGATCAAGAGTCACATGCTCTACCGACTGAGCCAGCCTGGTGCCCCTTCTTTGCTAAACTTATAATGAACCCTGGGGTGCCTGGGTGGCTCAGTTGGTTGGGTGTCCCAACTCTTGATCTCAGCTTAGGTCTTGATCTTAGGATCGTGTGTTGGGCTCTGTGCTGGGCATAGAGCCTATTTAAAAACAAACAAACAACAACAAAACTCATAATGAGCCTTGCTTTTCATAATTTAAAAAAATTATTATAGAAAATTTCAAACTTTATCTATACCCCTTCCCTCCTCCTTACCCTACTCTTGGATTCTTTTGAAACAAATCCTAGACATTATATTATCTCATCTATAAATAGTTTATTATGTGCCTCTAAAAGATAGAATTACTTTTTATAAACATAACGATAATTATCACGCATGTAAATATTGACAGTAATTCCTTAATATCACCAAATATGTCAATGTGCATATCCCCCCAATTATTTCATTTTTTAAAATATTTGAATTTTTGAATCAGGATCCAAATAAAGTTCAAACATTGTAATTAGCTGATGATATCTCTCTCTTTTGCCTCCCTCCACTCTTTTTCTTTGAAACCTCTTTGTCCTATTTGAATCATTTGTCCTGTAGAATTTCCTTCAGCCTGAATATTGGTGACTGTATCCCCGTGTCAGTTACCCATTATTAGATTGTTTACTATGTTGTCTGTAAATTAGTAGTAAAATCCAGAGACAAGTTAGATTCGGGTTCTATTTCTGAGGACGAAATTCTTAGTGAGTGTTGGTGTATATTTCCATTATGAGGTACATAATGTCTGGTTATCTTTTTATTTTTTTTTAAGATTTATTTATTTGAGAGAGAAAGAGAGTGCGAGCTGAGGGAGGGGTATATGGCGAGGGAGAGAATCTCAAGCAGACTCCCCACTGAGCGTGGAGCCCGGTACAGGGGTTCAATATCATGACCCTGAGATCATGACCTGAGCTGAAACCAAAAGACGGATGCTCAACTGACTGAGCCTCCCAGGCACCTATGTGTGGTTATCTTTTGTGTGTGTGATGTCAATAGCCACTGATGATCATTGCCTAGGCCCACTAATGCATAAGAGTCTTCCATAAATGGAACTATTAGCTAGTGGCTTTGGCCAGTATATTAAGTGTTCTAGGGTATACAACATTTGGATACAGATTATTTTAAATACTTTCTAACTTTTTATATTGTCTGCAGTTATTTCCATTGATCTGCTAGTTTATCTTTGAACTCTTTTATCATGGTATAAAGTCTTCTATTTGATCAGATGGATCATCATGTTTTTCTTTTTCTTTTTTTTAAAGATTTTATTTATTTATTTGAGACAGAGAGAATAAGAAAGAGAGAGCACATGAGAGGGGGGAGGGTCAGAGGGAGAAGCAGGCTCCC